TTTTTTTTCTCAAAAAAAAGAAAAGAAAAGAGATTTAGTAGGCCCAATGATGAATTCCATTATGATTGTGGGAAAGCCCAATATTGAAAACATGTCCTGAATCCACCTTACATAAAGCATAAGCATAAGGGTTTAATGTCCAGCACTATACCTTTCCATCGCCTCTCGTTCCCTTCTCTGCAGACTCTCTGATTTCAATTCACTTCCTTGCTGTGTCTGGTTTTCTAATCTGGAACGCGGGAAATCAATAATTGCCGGCGATTGAGGGGAGGCTGGCCGGAAAGCTCCATAATCAGCCCTATATTTTGCGGAGACGAAAGGAAATTGCAAAACTCTATTTGGACAGTACCATTTCGTGAAATTCCGGTAGTAAAATGACGACCCAAGCTGCTTCCACTTTCAATGGCAACTTAAAGGTGATAGCTTTATTGGGCATGCTTGTTTCTTCTATCCATTGCTTTAGAAGTTGCATTCTTTTGTATATCTAATTGGCCTGGACTTGGTTTTTTTTTTCTGTGACTTAAAAGTTGGAAGTTTTTGTAATTTATTGCTGATATATTTGTTTCAATTAGATTCTCTACTGATTTGTGCTTTATAAAATGATGTTTCGGATTTTCTGTGATCTTGTTGTGATTTAGCAAGTCATTGCCTCGTCTGTAGTGATTACTTTGGGTATGAAAATATTTCTTTGAATAAATTATGGATGATTTGCATCTCCTCTATTGTTGTTTCAAATTGCAAAAGTTTCTGATCTTTAACAGTTGCTACACTTCCTTATTTTAAGTAAACCTTGTTGGTTGTAATGATACTTGTGCAATTTGTTCAGTGACCAACCACTATCTATTTGAAATTTATTTGCTATACCATAAGTAATAAAATTTGGCTGCTTTTGTATTGATGCAGAAAGCAGTTGCTGGTCTGAGGCGTATCAATCTAGAAGGTTTGCGATGGAGAGTGTTTGATGCCAAGGGGCAGGTGGGAACTTCTTTCTTTTCTTCTTTTTTTTTCCACATATTATCTGCTTGATAAATGAACCTGACAATCTTTTTTTTAAATATAGTTTAATTGAGAAGCTTTTTTTATACAGTTAAAGATAATGACAATTGTATGCCCCCTGTTAATCCCTAAACTTCACTCTCTGAAAAGGGTTGAAAATTGACTGGCAGAGTATGATATGTGGTTTGGTCAAGTAACTGCTTTTTGTTGCAATTTCTCTTGGTTTCCTTTTTAACTTGGTAGGGGTAAATCATTTGATGTAAATATCTTTTCTCTATTGTGGTCTTTTGGCCTGTAAAGGAAAATTAATGTCTTTTTTTAATTGTCATAGGTGCTTGGAAGATTAGCATCTCAAATTGCAACAGTGGTCCAAGGTAAAGATAAGCCCACATACACCCCAAATCGTGATGATGGGGATATGTGTGTCGTGATTAATGCCAAGGATATATGCGTTACTGGGAGAAAACTTACTGATAAGTTCTACCGCTGGCATACTGGGTTAGTACTAACATCTTTAGAGTGGAGGGAACTACATAGAAATGAATAACTCAGTTTTATATGATTCTTCTTTTTATGTTTTAATATTCTTCTCTTGCAGATATGTGGGAAACCTTAAGGAAAGGAGTTTAAAGGACCAGATGGCTAAGGATCCTACGGAAGTCATTCGGAAAGCTGTCCTGCGCATGCTTCCAAGAAACAAATTGCGTGATGTGAGTGTTTAAACCAGATATAAGTTCTTTTCTTGATTTTAACATGCTTCCCTCATGTTATATCTTGTGATTATTATTATTTTTTACTTTTCATTTTACTAAGAAAAGGGAGCTGAAGGATTAATTTTCATTGTGTATGTGTTCATGTACATTTATGTGTATATACAAATTTCCTTTTGTAGGGTCTATAGACTACCATGCATATGCATGTATTGTGTGGTTAGTGCCTGCATGCTTCTCATGGTTTGCGATCTATGTGCACAAGAATGTATTGGATGCTGCAAAGTAGTTAAAAAGAGTAAATAAGTAAAGGAAGCCCTTTTACTAATGAACATCTTGTTGCTGGTGTTTTATCCTACTGTCCTAAACTTCTTTTATTTTTATAATTTTGCTTTGTGTATTGTAGTTAGATTATCTAACGTTACTTGCCTTTTGTGGTTGTAGGATAGAGATCGCAAGTTGAGGATATTTGCTGACAGTGAGCACCCCTTCGGTGACCGGCCCCTGGAGCCATATATAATGCCTCCCCGAAGTGTACGAGAAATGCGCCCGCGTGCAAGAAGAGCCATGATTCGAGCTCAAAAGAAAGCTGAGCAGCAAGAGAATGGCGGTAATGAATCAAGAAGAGGAAGAAAGAGAAAGAATGAAGTGAACACAGAATTGGCAGCATGAAAATTTCTCGCTCTCCTTTTGCTCCCCATGTAGCTGGCGTCTCTTCTCAATTCTACACCCAACCACCATGGAGGTGCCGTGTGCGCATAGACTAGTCTGAATAATGTCTTGCTCTCCAGTTTTTGGAGTCCTTTCTAGGTTAAACATCTTTATTTGTCGTTTTTCTTCAGAGATGCTAAGTTTTGAAAGATGAAATATGCTGCGTTTTTTGGGTGCTGGTGTGGCAAACTCTTTCTTAGATAAAACGGTTAACTGCTATTTTGGTTCGTTCTTCTGATGAAAACCATGAAGAGAAATGATGGAGCATTTGGTTATTACTTTCTGCGCATTTTATACAAAAACTAAATCATCATCAAGAGCCACCAAGCTGAAAGAATTTGAACAAAGATCATATTTAAAATTTAATTGAATGGACGAGACAATACAAAAGGCTAAGTTACATGGAAAGACATACATTGGAAATTCAAGTCAACATATGCTGAACAAGAATAAAGCAGCGAAAGCAAACCAGGAAAGAACAACGATTATCCATTAACACTAATTTTTTGTTCCCTTCGACAAAAGCAAGCTGAGCTACTAAGATTTTTAATCACTTGATGATCCATCATCATTGTCATCTTCATGTTCTGTCACAACTTTCTCTATAAATTTCTGTCGAATTCCTTGAATCACGGCCTCCCTTGATGGATTGCTTCCACTTTGACCATCGTTCAGAACAGGATCTGATTGACAGAGAACTAAGGCCACGCCTGATTCGGAGAGAAAAGATTGCAGTAAGTTTTAATAAGGAAAACATAATAAGCAACAGAGAAGCAACTTGACAAGTTAGTTTAAAAGATAACACAGCACTAGAAAAATAAATTCTGCATATGGATGTTTCAATGTTGTTATGTTGGCAAAAAAATTTTGGTTGTTCCAATGACAATCAAATCCTGCTGTACCAAAGTCATGTTATAAAAAGTTATAAAACTGTTACTACTAAAATGACCATCTATGCAAACTAGTCATCGTAAGGTACCTTCAGGTGTGCACCTCTGGCCAAAACTATTCAATCCCACATAATTAGCTTTTACCGCACCATTGTTATACACCAAAAGGGTGGGCAGATTACGATCTGGATAGTTAGGAATACAATCTGTAGATATTATCTTGACAAACTTAGTTGCTGGGTATCTTGATGCCAGTTCTTCCAGACACTGTAAAAGAAGTCTACATTCTGGAAATCTAATTGCAAAAGGAATCACAAAAATCAGCACAAACACAATTAGTCTGATCAAGATTGTTAAAAATGTGCAACAGATAAGTGCAATACCCTTCTTTGTAGAGAATCACAACTACCCAAACTTCAGGTGCAGCTTGAGAAACTTCCCGCACAAAATCTGATCCTAATATTAGAACTACTGATCCATACTTGCTAATGTTAGCTGCTTCCCTCATCTCTGCCAACCTCTTCTTTCTATCAATACACACCATTCAAATTAAAATCAGAAAATGACATAATTACAACCCAACATGCAAATTTTCTTCATTCATTTGTTTTTCATTGATTTCAATCAAGAATCATCCCAAGTTATCATAACATAGCATAATTGAATTAAAACAACAAAGAAACAACTACAAATCCAGCATTTAGACAATAGTAACATGGACGGAAATGAAATATAATGAAAAACATGCAAATAGCAAAATTGAAGGCTCAAACACAGCAGAGGTACAGTTAAAAGTATAAAATTACAGGGATTACGAAAGAAAAAAAAAGGTGCTTTATTTTGAATGCGATCTTAGACTCCAATTGAAAAAAGAAACAAGAGATAAAGTAGTTTAAGCTACCTGTATTCTTCGAGGAAGCGATCGTCGTCGAGATCATCCTCAAGCTCTTCTAATTCTTCCTCGTTCTTCTGGTCAATCCAGGTCTTGTCCTTGGGGGCGGAATCCTGGTCGGCTGCGGGCTCGAATGGCGGAGGCTTGAACGCAGGTGGCTTCGGCGGCAAATTCCCCAATTTCCTCTGTATATCGTCCCATTGCGTCGACGCTCCTTCCACGTCCTTGTACACGAAATGATAATCCGCCATTGTTGAACTCAGAAAGATCTCTCTCGATTTCTTCGCCTTCTCTTCTGAAACAGAGATAGGGGATCGGTTAAATTTATTGGGCCCTTCATCTTTTCTCCAGCCCAGATACTTCGGCCCATTAATCTAGTAGGTGATTGGTCTGAGCCCATCTTATCTATTGAGGCCTCAGATTTGGTCATTGCGACATGAGCCCAACAATCGAGTCTGTCGTGGCGGCACTGAGAACACTGAGTCAACTCAAACCGAGTCACGAGAACCTGTTTTATAAATACAATTGCATGCGCTACTCTGGTCTCTGTTAAGCGACGGGAAACCCACGCGAGGAAGATGAACCCGGTGGAATCTGTGGTGGCCCAAATACAGGGGTTGTCTGGCAGCGCCTCCGATTTATCTGCTCTCCACAATTACTTGAAGCAAGTCGATGAGGCGCTCCACTCCGAGTCCACTCAGTTGATACCTTTTCTCGACCAACTTGACCCCTCCAAGCATTCTCTGGGTTATCTCTACTTCTTGTAAGTTATTGGTTCGTTAATTTTCTGAAAAAAAGATTGAGGAATTGACTGCATAAGGGTTTAATTTTGGAGGGTGTGAATGATCTTGTCTTGCGCAGTATTTTGATTAGGGAGAAAGCTGAACTAGCCGTCTTCCGGTTGTTGATTGCAATAGAGTAGTTTCATTATGTTCAGTAGAAATTCAATTTTTGTGGGTTCCTCGGAGGAATTTTATCTGGACTGGATTAAAGAGAAAAAGAATATAAAGTAGTGATTTTGGAGGGTGGATTAGTAGTGGGTATTTTGACTAGCCTGCATTTTTTTTTTTTTTTTTTAAATGGAAGAATGCTATGTTTAATCATGTATATTTGATGGTTGTCAGAGAGGCGTGCACATCAGGACCGGTTACAAAAGAGCAAGCTGGTGTTTTTGTCTTAACAATTGCTAGATTTATCAGTTCTTGTGCTGCTGAGCAGATTCGTTTGGCACCTGATAAGTGTATGGATCTATACTTGAAACTAAATTCTTTTTGAATGTTGATGAATGGCTTTTCACTTGATGGTGTTCATTGTTATTATTATTTGCAGTCACTGCGGTTTGTAAGAGGTTCAAGGACCAAGTTTTGTTGCTTGACGCACCCTTGCGTGGGGTGGCTCCAATGCTGACTGCAGTTCGGAAGCTCCAGTTGTCCACTGAACACTTGACAACTTTACATCCAGAGTTTCTTATACTATGTTTGCTGGCAAAATCCTACAAAATTGGTTTTTCAATTTTGGAGGATGCTATTTTTGAGGTTGATCAACCAAGGGATATTTTTCTCTATTGTTATTATGGGTAGGTTGTTCAATCAGCTTCCTTGTAGCTGTTCTTCTTCATGCTTGATTTCTTAATTGTAATGGGTGAACTCTATGCTTAGGTGGCAAAAGTTATCACCTGTTTATTGACTTATAAATATTGATCTATGTTGCTGTTTTAACCTCAAACGCTGCCTTGTATGCTTCGAGTTTTTAACTGGTTCAGTTGACATCTTAACAGGGGAATGATATGCATCGGGCATAAGCATTTTCAAAAAGCACTGGAGCTTCTACACAATGTGTGCAGTTTATTTATAGTGCTGTCATTGATTTTTTTTATATCGCAGTCACTGCTGACTGAAAATAGTCTTGATTGTTTGTTGTCTTTTTGCTTTTCTTCCAGGTTGTGACTTCTCCTATGTCTACCATCAATGCGATAGCTGTTGAGGCTTACAAAAAATACATTTTGGTCTCACTTATTCACAATGGACAAGTATGCTATTATCTTTGATGCCTAGGTTTATTTCATATTGTGCTGTGGAGAATTTGGAAGGTTTTTGCTCTCTCCCCAGTCAATTTTTCTTATTCTGCAAATTAGAGTGATGGTTCTTAATTTTTCTGTTTGCAGTTCTCTACTAATCTTCCAAAATATGCTTCTTCAGCTGCTCAGAGAAATCTGAAAAACTTATGTCTGGTAAATATCAATTATAGGACTCCTCAGTTGTAAGTTTTGGCTTGCTTAAGTAGTCTTGGGCTCCACTAGCTTTTTGGGTGTGTGTGTGTGTGTTTTTTTTACACTAGGCATATGTCAATAATGCATGCATAAGGTTACAGAAGATAATATCATTGAAGACAACTTTTCTGTTTGGTTATCATCTAGATGCATGCTAATTGTAAGTTCCAGTCCAGTTTCAAAATGTGTTTGTTTTGAAGTGTCTATGATGATTATGGGAATGTTGGATCCTTTTTCACAATTGAAGAACATAATATTTCATATCTTTTAAAGATATGTCTAGCCTTGGTATCTGTAGAATTTGAACCTTGATGAGCTGCACAAAACTCATATTCTTGCTTTAGTTCTTTTGGTCTTGTATCTACAAAGAAAAAAGAATTCACTGCATTAGGATTTGACTATCCTTTTTTTGATTTAATGATTGACTTGGTACTGTTACTTTTCAAGCAGCCATACATTGATTTGGCACATTGCTACAACGATGGAAAAGTCACAGAATTAGAAGTATATGTACAGGCAAACAGGGAGAAGTTTGAAATTGTGAGTGCTCCATTATATTTGAACCTATTCTAATGCTCTATTCATTTGATCATTTTAAAGAGGCTTTGGAATTTTTTTTTATTTTTTTATATATATATTTTTTTTTTCAGGAGAGCAATCTGGGTCTAGTGAAGCAGGTTGTCTCATCCATGTATAAGCGAAATATTCAGAGATTAACGCAGACATATCTTACTTTATCACTCCAAGATATAGCCAATACAGTGCAACTAAACAGCCCTAAGGAAGCAGAGATGCATGTTCTTCAAATGGTAATCTAGGATTGTCAGTGTCGATTCTTTAAGTTATTAATTTCTGTATCAGATTTGCAGTGTTGATGTTTTTACAACATATTTCAGATTCAAGATGGTGAGATATATGCAACAATCAACCAGAAGGATGGAATGGTTAGATTCCTTGAGGATCCTGAACAATATAAGACATGTCAGATGATTGAGCGTATTGACTCATCAATCCAGAGGTATGCAAATTAAAGTTGGTTAACGTCATAAAAAGATCCTGAATGGGTTAAACAATATATTTGATTATGGTGGCAAATGACCAATAGTGGTAATTAAGTGTTACTGTCAATTTGGAACACGGGTTGACTTAATTATGAATAAAAGCATGAGAGAAATCCTTTCTGTGTACTGTTTCAGGATAATGTGGCTGTCAAAGAAGCTGACTGCTATGGATGAACACATGTCATGTGATCCCTTGTACCTAGCAAAGGTAAGCAAGCCATTTCTGTTTGGCAAAGAACTATTTATGAATCATGGATGAGTAACTTAATGATACCTTGTATCTTCAGGCTGGGCGCGAACGACAGAGATTTGACTTTGATGATTTTGACACCGTTCCTCAGAAGTTCAATATATGAATGTGCTATTCTGAATCCACTGAAGATTGACCAGCAGCAGTAAATCTATGATGAGAAAGTTGCTCACATACAGGTTTAGCTCTATTGGCTCCATATTGTTCAAAGAGATGGAGAATGTTCCTTTTTATTTTTTGGGAAAGTAGATCATTCGAATTTGTTCTGTTTTTTCTTCCATCGGAGGTGGATATATATGAAGAGAACTCAATCCAGTCATGAGTTATTATGAGAACTCAATTTATTTATTGTTTTTTTGTTTTACTCTCTCCTTTGGTGAGCGACGCAAGTGCATCCCCTAGGCATTCCATGTTAGAAAAAGCCCCTTTTGTGAGGGTTACAAACTTACAATTCCCACCAAATATACAAATACCTTCCGTTTTTTCTCGAGGGATTTGCTAGACAGATTATGATGAACATCCTACCTGGATTTTTTTTTTTTTTAATACGTTCACAAGAGCTACTCTCTCCTCAGGGCCAGGAGGAATCATATAAACAAAAGAGTTTTAAGTTGCACGGTGGAAAAGTAACACGAAAACAAATTTCATTCGTTTAACAACAGATTCCTCATGTTGAACAAAAAATCAAAGCTGCCGGTACATGATGTATAAACTATAAAGGAATACTCACCCCAGGGGAATGGAGAAGAGAAACAAATGAATAAAAGGGCACTCTAATCAAATTATTTGGACACCTATCTAAGTCAAAACCAAAATGAAATACAGCAGAACGAATATATCATTCCCTTCAATCAAAGTAAAAGGAAAAGATGGAGGTAGTTAATTAACCTTTCCTATCTTTACACAGAATGTGCCACTCTTGGAGCACAGCTGCTTGAAGGGCACGGTGTTCAGCTTCCTCTGCTGTTATCTTGGAGAGTGTGGTAGGTCCCTTAGGTTTATCTTCCTCACCATCCTTCTTTTCCTTTTTCTTCTCTTCATCTTCTTCTTTTTCTTCATCCTCTTCGTCATCAGATTTTGGAGTCTTTGGTCGTGGCTGTGCAGCCTTCAACAAGGCTATCCGCTCCATTGAAATCCTAAGCCTCTCAGCAGCAGCCACCTTGACTTCATCTTCAGGCATGTATTCTACAGCCCCGTCAGTCAGGTCATCCAACCAGCCCTGTGGATCTGATTCAATCTGTTTTGTAATTGATGCATCAGAAGCTCGGACTACAAATTTGCAAATCATTGTTGTTGTTTCATCACCCAGATCCACATTTCTGCTCACTTCACTGGATCCAAAAATCATCATACCCAAGAAGCCTCCATGCCAAGTTTTTGCAGCATAACACAGCTGTCCAAGGAGATTAATAGTCATTTTGTCAGGAATCAGCACTGGTTTCAATATGATAACACCTAAAAAAGTATTTTTGGGAAGAAAGGTCATACTCCTCGGAATATTGCTAAGTGAATTTAACCACATAAAATTCCTAACAACATAGGCAAGTCATCAAATTTGGATTTCAACTGTACTCACAAAGTTCCTTGGAATTTCAGCTATTCCCTTTTAGATTTCAGTTTAAACAGAAAATTTGGAGCCTAAAATTGTCCAGTAATTTGGAGAGAGAAAAATGGGGGTTAGAGAGCCAATAAATTGTTGGATGAACACTAATAATATAGATGTTGAACCTACCTGAAATCCAGCAACTGTTCTGATGATGTGTGAACAAACCCTGTGGAAAGGCTTGGAAGACAATAATTTCAGTCCACTCAAGAAAGGGGAAGATCCATATTGCTGTGCAGCAGTAGCCTTGAAGCCACTTCCTTCATAAATATATGTACCAGTAAGCTCTACTATAGCTGGTAAACTGGGCCAAAGACGGAAGAATTCAACAGGTGAAATTTTATGTGGCAAAAGAAGATCAGTGAGTGGAATTTTGTAAGGCTGACATCTCAAAATCACAGGTTCTCCAAGTTCTGGCCTTAAGCTTCTCTTTTGCCTCATGATTTGGGGATCTTCTTCAGCATAATCACCTTCATAATCTCCTACAGCACCGCTACCATAGAATGGGTAGTACAATACTTGAACCCAAAAGCCACATCTTTCAAAATGGGAGACACCTACAGTCACACTACAAAGAACAGGATCCTGCAAAAAGGATAATCATGTAATTAATAACCATTAACTTTGCAGACAGATATGCACTGCAGAGTGAAGGAAAAACATGAAAAGAAAAGATGAGAAAGGAAACCTGTGAAACAAGATTATGCAACTGCCGCACTGCTTGGGGAGACCCATTCATGAAATATAAGGAACCAGATAACCCAACACGAATATCCACCCGGTTTAGTTCCAGTTCAGTCAAATTTAAAACCTGCAAACAAACCCGCGATCAACAGTACAAACATGATCAGCAACTTAACAGGCCACTAGACACGTAACCAAAACAGCAACAGCAAAGAAAAATGTTAACTTAAAGAGAGACATTAAGTAATGATAATGCTTAATATTTTATGCCCAAATCCGAATTCATATTGTAACACATTAAGCAAAATAAAGTGCATAGATGTAGAATGCATTCAACTGTTACATATTACAATTCTTATTCTTCATTACTAATCACACAAATATGCCAATTTGGTAATCTAAAACGAAACAAACACCAAGTGCACTCATGCATAACCTTCTCATTTATAAAATATTTTAATTTTCTGCCAAGGCTACTGCTAAGACACTCACTATTGAGAGGTTCTACAAGAAACTGACTGACTAAACCATTTAAAACATATTTATTACATTCCACTTGACATAAGATCATCATATCCCTCCCTTAAAAGAAACTGATGTGACCATAGCAACTAAAAAAGCTTTAAGAGAAACATGAGTTAAAGAAGCCTGGGAAATGGTAATGGTTAAACAATAAGTTTTAACCTTGAGATGCAAAGTGATCCTTCCATCTCCGGCATCAGACAAATGGTAAGCCTCAATGTAGCAAGGATCACTGCTACCAGTCAACGTATGTGCAACTGGAGCAACCTTGAGTGATGTAGAGTCAATTCCCTTTGTCAATAAAAGAGTTAATTCACTAGGGTCTGGCCTCCATAGCTCTAAAATAGCTTTGTGAACTAATCCTTCCAATTTTCTGTCTTGAGCGGCAGATGATTCGTAAAACTGTACAGTAAGTTTATGATGGGTAAATGGGTAATCTCCTCTTGCCTCACTAACCCCAGCCCACCTGAAAAAAGAAGAAGAACAAGAAGAAGAAGAAGAAGAGAGAGAGAAACTACAACTCAGTTTTCAGCATAAAATGCAAAGTTAGACACAGAAATCCATTCTATTTCTTTTTAGGGCTTAGGGAACATGTCCAAGATTAATCATGTTCTGCACCAAGAGGCATAACAATCTTCTAGATACTGATAACCTTTGTCTATTGATCTTCACCATATTTGCAGGCTACCAAATGTCAACAAAGAGAACTTACAAAGGTATAACAGACTCTAGTTACTGTCAGCTACATGCAGCAAGAAATGTATTTATAACAATACTAAAGCTAACTGTTGCAAAACAATATAAAAACTAGTGATTAATGCACAATCTTTCTTAGTGCTATTGATAGGATACTTGCCTGTTATCAGGATGACTGAAAATATATTTAATTCTCTGCAGTATCAAACGACACTGATGCTTGTTTACAGAATCAGCCAAAGTACTGTTTCTGAATTCTTCAAGCTCCTTTATCAGTAACTGCCCTGCTCTAGGGTGACGCGAACCCAATCGCTGAGCACATAGAAGAACTGCCTGAACATCTTGAAGCCTATTTGTTGTATTTGCAGATGAATCTATGTTGAAGAGAACCTTGTGAATATTTGAGACAATAATATTTAGAGGATCCTCAGGGTCGTCTGCAAGAAGTGGATCTAGACCTTCTACATCTATATGTTCTGAAATTGCCCAAATAAGACGGGCACATATTCTTGGGGTATTCACCTGCCAAATTGACAAGAATTTCAAGATCAAGGGAGTAAGCAGATGAACAACTTTAAAACCCCACCCAGCTTATCTAAGATTTAGCCTTAGCTGAACTCAACACTGTAAAAGTTTGCTAAAATCATTGCACAAACCCCCCATGTCATCTTCACCTTTTTTACTTTTTCAGTCTTTTCATTTTTCATTAAATATGAGACAGATTCATTTAAGAGATTTTTATAGGTCAAAGATAATGGAACAAGATGAAACGCAAAAATTAAAAAACATTATAGGGGGGAAAATCCTGAGTAATTAAAAGTTAAAACCATATGCTCAGTCGCTGACATGGTAGACAAAGGTTAACTTGTAACTTTCCCTATATAAGAGCTTGCATACCTCACGGAGATCTTTTACAAGGTTCCTTTGCAAGTTCTGCAGCCTTGTCTCATTTAAGATTTGATCTTGAGAAGCCCCATCTTTAACCTTTTTTACACCTCCTCTAGTATCATAAATATGGCATAGCCTAACAAGCAGCTTCAAATAGCAATCAATTCCATAAGTCCTTCCCTCACAATCCCATTTGACACAAGGCCTGCAAACTTCAACCACTTCCAAAGCTGGCTCTGTCCAGTTTAGTGCACCATAACCTGTTCCATATGCCAAGGCTCCAATGACTCTGCTCTCCATACCTGAGTTCTTTTGCTCAGGCAAAGGAAGAGACAACTGGAAGCAACTTTCTACAAGAGTTGCCACCAACTCCTCCCTAAACAAGCTTTTGCTTGTCAGACTATTAAGATCTTCTCTTATCCTTACATCCTCGAAAAGAGAAGCAATGTCAGTTCCTGAAAGAGGCTTCTGACCTCTTCGAACACTTTCCTTTGCAAAAAGGTCAACACATAAAGCTGTCCGACAAATACAAGCTAAGGCATACATGCGGTCTGATTCAGCTCTCAGGTTTCTTACCATAACAAGCAGCCTCTTAAACAATGAAACCTTCAAAACAGAAATAGTAGCACATTAGGTTAAGTCTAAACCAGAACTTTCAAATTCATAAATCACACACCAATGGCATCCAGCAAGCATCAATTCTTTCATTTCTTCTTAAAACCAGTGAAAACTGATAAATACAACAACAAAAAGACTGATTTTGTGAGTCATCATTTAATTGGCAGATGCAACTGGAATGCACATCTCTTAGAGTGATCTTTCTTTTGCACAACAGCTAAACTTTCAGACATGCCAGTCTGGCTTATAAAGATCCAACTGCAGCTAAACCAGAACTTTCAAATTTATAAATCACACACCAATGGCATCCAGCAAGCATCAATTCTTTCATTTCTTCTTAAAACCAGTGAAAAATGATAAATACAACACCAAAAAGACTGATTTTGTGAGTCATCATTTAATTGTCAGATGCAACTGGAATGCATATCTCTTAGAGTGATTTTTCTTTTGCACAACAGCTGAACTTTCAGACATGCCTGTCTAGCTTATAAAGATCCAACTGCAGCTAAATTATGAACTCTACCTCAATGGCAGAAGCCCTACCTAATATATATGATGAACATATTACTTGTCATTAATTTTATTTCTACCCAAAAACATATAAACTTAATTAACCTCAAAGCTTCCACATTTAGCTTACTAACAATAAAAGAATTTGCAAAAAGTTGACAAAAATATAAGCTAAGAATAGGATGGTACAAACCTGCATATGGAGATCAAGTAAATGAAGGTTGGTCACAGCAGCCCTAACAATACTCTCTCTAGCAGAAGCGAATTCCTGTCTGTCCCAAAGCGTCAAAATCGCTATAATTGATTGCGAAGCCCACTCGGGCTTCCCTCCAGGCACATCAGCTAAGTACAACATATTAATTCCCACCTCAAAAATCAATGCCGGATCCAACGAAGAAGCTAGGAACGGTGCCAAATGAGTCACCAAATCTGAAACCCCGACCAGCTTCTCTGCAGTCGAGTCCGCCACGCTCCCATTTTCTTTGGGAGATTTTGAAAGCTTCTTGATCACCTCCACACTTCCGGAGGCCACAGCCTTAACTGCATATACCAACGGGAACACTGTAGCACGGAAGGTCTCCACCGGCAGGATCGATGACCTTGCCATCAATGCATTCCTCTTCTTCCACACAAAATCCACCATAGACGAGACCCAATTCGACCGAATTGCCAGAGAATTCTCGCTATCCACCAGTTTATCGCCCGCCAATCGGCTCATTTTCTTTGAATCGAATTCTTGGAACAATCTTCCGACCGACTCAAAGGCGACTTTGGAGACATTGTCCGATTTATCCAGCATGTTGTTGGCAATGCGAAACCACCATGCGGAGACTTTATCAAGGATGTTCACATTATTCTCACAGAGCGTAACGAGGTCATCACGGGCGAGAATGCAGCCGAGCGTTTCGGTGATGGAGAACCGAAGGTTATCGCTAGGGGAGTCGAAGCAGGCAGAGATCTCAGAATTACAATCGGAAATAAGCTTTGCAAGCGCGTAGGAGGGGATAGCAGCAAGGATAGAGAGGGCGGCAGCGGTTACATCTGGATCGGGAAAGTGAAGGTCGGAACGGATACCAGTGGAGACAGAGTCCCAAAGGTCAGCAGTGAGCCTGGTGGAGCGGATGAGGTCGAAGGCGAGCTTCTTGCAGACTGCAGAAGCAGGGGCGGCGACGATCTCCTCGACGGCGGATTTGGCAATGACGGAGATGTCACGGCCGGCTGCGGACTGCTGGAGGGCTAACAGCAGGGCGCTTGTCTGGCGCAGGGCGTCGTTGGAGCGCAGGTCCGCCTGGATCTGAGCGAAGAGGATATCCATTCAGTACAGTAAACTGGAAGAGGTTTAGCAGAGATTTCTTGTCAGGGATTCGGAGGGGGGAACAGGGACATGGATCAGTGTGGAGAATTGAATTCAGGTTTCTGAGGATTTGCTTGGGGTTGTCGGGTTCCTTTCTGATGGAACAGAGATGAAGAAGAAGAAGAAGAAGGTGAGGATCGGAAAATGACAGTTGAGCTTTCGGCAACTGGGATCTCCGTCGGACCGGGTAAGGGAGACAGAGATCGATTTGGGCCATAGGTCCAGGAATTCGAGGCCCAACAGACCCAAAAAAGTAAGAAAAGAAAAAAAGTTTGAGCCATGCGTCCGGGAAATCAAAGCCCAACAGACCCAAAAAGAAAAGGAAAAGAAAATATGTTTTTAGTCCAACTGGACAAAAATGCCAGTTTGTACAATAAAGTAGAAATGACATTTCCATTTAACGTTAATGAAAAACTCCGATGTCATTTCTAAGACTAAAAAATACTTAATTCTCATAAAAATACATATATTAGAAATTTAACAAATAATATCTGAGTGAGTTGATATCATATCAATTATTTATTTAGTTATTTAGTTAAGCAGCAATGCTATAAATACAATGGTTTTTAACAGTATTACTTTACACAATATGATAAAATTTTAAACAAATAAATACATATTAATATTGATACACGAGTTCTAAATAAAAAAAAAAAGGGAGTTAATTATAGAATATCACCTCAAATTAATTTGATTCAGCCACTTGCACCTGCTTAGAGTAATTTGTGGATAATCATAATTAAGAAGCTTTGAAGAAACGAATTAGGATCATAATTTGGAGGAGGATCCTGGGACTGGGAGAGCAATCTTCTTCAGCTCCCTTCTCAATATTTTTCCTGCTGCAGTCTTGGGGATGGAATCAACAAACGCTACCCTCCTTATTTTCTTGTATGGTGCTACCTGAACTCATCAACATATTTATATAAATTTAAAAGAATTTTAATTACCCAACTAAAAAAATAAATTAATGCATCAACAAATAGAAAGTCGTACGTCCAATGCAACATGAAGGGAAATTTTACCTGTTTAGCAACAAAATCAATGATTTCTGCGTCGCTGAGGCTGCTCCCAGTCTGTCTAACCACAAATGCCATTGGTAACTCGCCAGCTTCTTCATCAGGGTATCTGAGCACAAATCACTTTCTAGTTTACTAATAATCATAAATATGCCACCTGGCTAGAGAAAAAGATCAATAATAATGATATATGAGATTTACTTACATACAAGTTTTATATATTATATTTATATAATATTTGGATTATTTATTTTTTTATTTTTAATAATTAAGATTTATCACAATTTTTTAAATAAAAAAATAATTATAT